TATAAATTCAATTTAAAAACTTTTCAATTTGGGACAAATTTTTGATTGGTTACCCCACCAAGACGCAAGGTATTATGGGGATGTGAAAGTAGAGAATGAATAGAGTTGTCGTTAGATCTGTTCCTTTGCTTCAATGGCCGGTTTCACCGGTTTTCCTCATTCCATAAAAATCATTATCTGATTTTGTTCCATAGAAAAATTCTCGGGTTTTTCGAGGCATAGGTAGCAGTAGATAGTGGCCAACAATTATGTAGCATTCGTCTACTATCGGGAACCAATCAACAGAGCACCCCACATGCTTTGAATTTTGTTTTTTTGCTGCAAAAACATATTTGATTGTACATTCCAAAGATTCATTCACATTTACACTCACCGTTAGTGTCCACTTTTGCGGTTTACCAATGAAAACCCGGCAGCAACAAACAGACGCCCAGATACCGATACCAAACTCCAGGATACTGAGGATCAGTATCAAAATACTCATATGATAATCTACTCCTCTTTTTTTGCTGCTATGTAATTCGTAAGTAATACACACCGTCATGAAGTACATAATGATCATGACGGCAGCGAAGACAATCGATGTGATGGTAAATCCCAAATAGACACCAATCTGAAATCAATTAATATGAAACCAAATGAAAGATAAAATTTGTGTGGTTGTTTAGGTAGGACCATGGGCGCTTGGAAATATTTGCGGAACGTATACGTACATTTATTAACATTTTTTGCCATCATTTTAATATTATTTATCGTCAAGGAGCCAATGCTAGTGCTTTTATAGAAAAATGTTCCGAGAAAAAATTACAAATTTAGAATCTAAGTCTTACCGTAGCTTTGAAAGTAGATGTTCTCTTCGTAAAAATTCCAAGTAAGCCTGTGATGGCAATCTGAAAAGGGGATCGGAAGACTGCCGATTACATTCAAGACGAAAGGGTAAACACAGTCGGAGAATATAAGGCAAGTCTTTCTTAAACGAGAATAATAGCAATAATACTATGATAATAATAACAACAAGATCTAGCTGCCTCTATTTACCCGCAATATAGGGGATCGGAAGACTGCCGATTACATTCAAGACGAAAGGGTAAACACAGTCGGAGAATATAAGGCAAGTCTTTCTTAAACGAGAATAATAACAATAATACTATGATAATAATAACAACAAGATCTAGCTGCCTCTATTTACCCGCAATATTTCTTGATTTATTTTTTTATGGGAAATTAAACTGATTCAGGTTTAACATTTGGTGGAGGTATTCGTACTTACCCACGAGCCCATCCAAACAGCAATGTATGACATGGACGTTAGTGTTAAATTATGAAACGACCGCCTATGATCATGACCACTTGTCTGAACAGCTCGCTCAAAGACACCAAATATACAGCATAAAGTACCAATCAGCAGCTGAATGACGCCTGACACCAGGAGCTGTTCACGAACTGCAAACATCGTCTAGTCTCTTTGTAATAACAAGATATGAATCTGCAATTGAATAAGATGAATTTTTCCTTCGACTAAAGTAGAACCATGCAGGCTGCAGTCAACATAACCGAGGATTGGTGTTTAACCAATTAATCCTCATTTATTCGCATGTGCCAACAAAAGAAGATATATAATTAAGACTATCGAGATTATCTCCTAAGATCGAATTGGAATTTAGGAGTTGATTTCATTTGTTTAAATGTACGCACGCCATGAGGTGATGTTGTCTGTCCACCATGCACAGTGTGCTTCAGTAATTTTCCGTGTTTAATAACGTCATGTCTATTTTTTTTTATGGTCATAAACACTTGTGAGAAAGTCACGTTCGTATAATTGACCACGTTATGAAGCAATATTAGGCCTTATATATACTAATGTGTTTTCGAAATGCTTCGTTTATGTCTCACTAAAAACGCATCGAAAGACCAAACCGAATACAACCATGTTGATATATTAAAAGAATTCATTGACAATTTTTTTTTAAAATTTAAACCAAGCGGTGGCGATAGGCCTTTCGTTTCCAAACGTACATGTGTCTACTCTAGAGAGCGTTCCCGGCATCCCCTGCTTGATATTTACATAACTTGTTTTATGCTAGCATTGCTCGTTCTACAAAGAATTCTGAATTCTGATAGGCCTTTCGTTTCCAAACGTACGTGTCTACTCTAGAGAGCGTTCCCGGCATCCCCTGCTTGATATTTACATAACTTGTTTTATGCTAGCATTGCTCGTTCTACAAAGAATTCTGACAGCTGCTTGTAATTTGGCGGAGTATTTTAGCTGTGAGGGTGCCAATGGGGTCAGTCAGTTAACTGACAATAATCCCCTTCACAGTTCCCTGTGCCATCTTGAAAGGTAGCAGTGCCTTTGCATCGAAGCGAGACAAACGGTGAGCTTGCAATAATAGAGACGTGAACAATTGTCCAAGGTGTTAAAAAAAGGTTCCAATTCTCAAGAGATTGGAATTCTTTTGTTTTGTCTTCCTCCAGATCGAGCTGCTTTGACGTCACATGCAAGGGGTCTATAGTGATTTTCCTCAGACCCACGTGAAACAGTTTCTAGTTCTTAGTGTATAATAGTCAAATAGACACAAAAGAAAACAATGGAAAAAGATCTAATAGAGCAGGTGCATGTTACGTTATAGCCGACATCTTGGTTGACGATAACAAAGCATTCCACATTCGCTTCTGTTGTTATATCAACCAACATGGCAGCTTGCATGGAATACAAGTACCATGAGAAAGTCTTTGAAGCCATGGCTAAAGTTGACAAAGCTATGAAGGTGGTGTCGCCAAGGCCGGCTACCAGAGGTTCCTTAGGAGGGCGTGGAAGAGCTGGCCGCTTTGCCAATATCCAGTGTTTTTCAGTGTCTACAATGGGGGCACTATAAGAGCCATTGTTCAGGGGTACCAAGGCAAGATGGTGGGGGCAGCCAAAAGAGGAAAGTGGGCTCCAAACTCTGGAAGCATGATGGAAGTCGCGTATATTATGTGGCATGTATTATTGTTTAAAGAATAATACGATTTAGCATCAGTAAAGATGCCTACTTATACTTGTCTCTGCTCATTTATTTATTTATTTATTATTTTATTTTATTTTTCCCCCTTGGTTTCTTACTTGACTTGGCTGAGTAACTCCTTGTTCCTATATTAGGGTGAGCAAACTCCCAATGGCTACCTTATTCCTGGGATGCCTTTGGACCGCCTGCTCTCAGGCGTGTGAGGTTTGCTCCCTCCTGATCGGGAATCCCATGCATAGGGACTTTATCTGAAGGGTATTTTCCTTTCTTTTTTTCTATCATATCCTAGATTCCACCTCTTAAAAAGAGAAGATTGGGTGTTAGACAGGTGGCAGAAGCTCAAATGACTTTGATAGGCTAGTGAAGGATACTCAAGTGCGAGGGAAGTGTTCTTTGATCAATATTCACGGGGTTCCCTTTTAGGAGGGGCCATCCAATGGCAAACACTCTCTGGGATTGGATAAGGAACAAAATTAGCATTCAAAGCTTTAGTCAAGCCTTTACCGGCGTTTGCTTTGCTACGCGACCACCCCAGACAAAAATCGCGCCGTGCACTTTGCAATAGACTGCCGTCAATCAAACACGTTGACGCCATTTACACGCGTGTGTGATTCAAAAGGCGTCAAAACTTCGGTCGATTGTTTACAATTATTATGAGCCACACTCACCGGGCCTATCCGGGCCGGTCCAAACGCGTGTGAATGGCGTCAACTTGTTTGATTGACGGCAGTCTATTGCAAAGTGCACGGCGCGATTTTTGTCTGGGGTGGCCGCGTAGCAATGCAAGCGCCGGTAAAGGCTCGTATAAGAAAAGTTCTGAAGGTCCGTGGAATTTCAAGGTGTTTTTATCGTTGAAGTTGTGCATTTTTTGCTATACCATTCGTACTTGTGAATATTTATACTCTGATTCGAGGCTAGCCCTGAGTAAATGAATCTTCAAAACACAGCGGTGATTTGTAACCCGAAACTGGTCTTTTTCGCACCTTAATTAACAAAAGATTCTGAATTATAATTTTTTGGGGGATTTCTTGAGTGCGCACTGCTACTGTTATACTTATTTTATTTAAAGCTTTGTTTTAACGTTGTGAGTTGACAAGCATGCTGCACATCCATAATTTTCTAGCGTGCGGGCCGCTAAGAAGAAAGTAAAAATCTGTCAGAGTTATAACCATGCCGAAAAGTTAAATGTGAAAAGTAAATGCAGCGATACCTGTATTAAGCAGCTAAAATATTTATAAAGAGCATTATTTGGTTTCCATATTGAATGAAAAACCAATCTATATACAACAAACACCTCTATTGGCTATGAAGAACCTTATGGTATAAGGTCGCAAACGGAGGTAATGGAGGTACCACTGTATAGACAATACAAAGTAAAACAAAGATGAAACAAATAAGAAGAAAAAAACACTACAGAGCGACTTTGACAGAATTTTCATTTGCCTGTAATCCTTGTGCACCAAACTAGAAGAGATAAGAAAATAGAACATTAATAGTTTACCCTCAAATTTGTTTTAGAGACAGGCATTATTATTAACGACAGCTTCTTGAATCGGCCAGCAGATTTGAATTGATCAGGATGAGGAACTGGTCAGAAAGTGAAGGGGAGGGTGGACTATGAAAAACAGGGTTACGTTGGGTCATGAGAAAATAAGCTTCCCTGCTTCTTGTAACATCATTCCCTGACTGGCGGTCCGTGCAAGAGGTTTGTAACTTTGATCATTTCATACTAAAGTTATGATGAACAAGTGGTCGTCTCAGAACTTACATTGTAATGAGGAGGAACAGCAGCTTGCTCGACTGGGTTGTTCTCGGGTGTTCCACCTGGCTCCATCATAGGCCCACTGGTTTGAGCTGGTATGGCAACAGGAGTGCCATTGGGTCCTTGGACGATAATATATGCAACAGGGGGACCTTGTGTTTGTGTGTACACTACCGGCCCGACGGGCGCCTAAAACACGTTGAGATTAGTATCGCATTTTTTATTTGCATGGGTACAACGATTGCATTTAATATATCACTTACCGATTGTGGATTTTGACCGCAACATATTATTTTGCAGCAACAAACAGAAGCCCAAATTGCAACACCGAACGCACCAATACTTAAGAACATCATAATCCAGGCGATGTACACGAATGCATACTTAGTAGAGCGATCGGCGTGCCAACTCAAAGTGAGAGCATAACACATAATCATGAGGGCGGCAATTACACTAGCAGTTATGGAGAGTCCCATGTATACGCCAATCTACGAGTAAACACAATTGTAGTTATGGAGAATCCCACGTTTACAACAATCTACGAGTGGTCACTATTATATACATACTGGTATGATGATAAATAGAAAGAAAGTCCTCCAAGTCGTCATCAACTTACCATACACTTTAATGATGCACAGCAATTTCCTTGCGTGGTGTACACCTCAGGACTTCCATTATCGCAACACTGAAAAAATAAAACGATTCAAAAGCATCTAAGATTTGGCTAACTTTTCGTCTGCGAAAATTTAGACAAATTATTTAGTATTTTCAGTGCATGACTTAATCGGTGTCAGTGAAAAGATTGGTAGTACGTGGTAGCGGTGGCGGTGGTGGTGGTGGGGGTGG